AGATGCTTGTCTGGTTTGTACTGATTCTGCTACGTCGTATGTTCTAACGGCATCACTCAGAAGGTCACTTGTTAGAATTTTACTGTAAAATTTAAGAGTTAAAGCTTTTTCCAGTAATTTCTAACACCTTCAAAAATATGGGAACATTAGTCCTTGGCGATCCATTTACAGTCTTTACAAGCCGTTTCCTTATCTCATTTGAATAAGAACTTAGCTGTTTTCGGTAATTTTGCATTGGATTTAAGAATTTCACTGAATTGAAGAAACATGCAATGATATGGACTGAAATACTTCCGTTGTATTTGATAAGGCATTATTTATTGAAGCGTTGTTTTTGCATTGGTTTATTTTCGATGAGATGAGAATGATAATTGAAGAATCATATCAATTAGTAAAATCAAATGCATGGAATGCAGGCTGTATAAATTAAGTGATTCGATTAGTATGTACACAATTCCACCAGATCAATGCTGTGACTCATTTTTTTCTGGTGTCTTTGCCGCTTCCTTATCTGATTTGTGGTGTTTGGACTTTTTACCTGCAATTTTCATCAGTCACTTTTGCTCAGATGAGTATAAAGCAAACATAAAAGTCTCATGATGTTATCGTTTTATCAATCGCTAATAAATATTAAAATATGAATTTCCAACACTACTCGCCGAAATCTTCCAAAATTCACTCAGCGCGTTATGGACGGCAGTGACCAATCATAAGTACTACCATGACAAATCTCAGAACATGCTTCACTTTACAAGACAACATTTTCCATGAAATCTTAGCCAGCAAATACAAGCTTGCATCGAATTGTGAACGAATTTCTATAAGAGTATCCATGCCTTTTGATGTCTCTACGATAAAATTGGCCATCTTCAGCTAGCTATAAAACAAAAAATGTTGCATATTATCAGTGGTTTAGTGAAAATTCACTTCGCTTATGCTTTCGATGCTTCTTCTTACTACTGCTCTTGGCAGTTTTACGTGAATGTTTGGATCGTCTATGCTTTTTCTTCTTTTTCTTCTTCACGCTTGAATCCTCCACCTTCTTGCTCGATCCAGATGTTGTGCCTAAAAACAAACTGACTTCATATGATCATTTCCATAACACTTCAACAGATTTCTAAAATGGAACACAATCAATGGATTAATTGTGATGTTATTAAATTAGGTTTTGGATTCACTTCTCGTCGAAACATTTGTTCTGTAGAGGCAGCAATTCGGAGAGCGGTATTCGTAACCTTTATCAGATTCCTTGATGGATTCCTTCTTTTTCTTATGACGTTTCTTTCGTTTACTTTTTGACACTGATGACGACCTTTTCTTCGACTTGCTCTCATCACCTGACCTTCCGCTGGTTTTACTTCCAGACTCCGCCTTGTTCGAATCACTTGACGGAGTTCTATAAGGCAGACTTTCTGATGCTTACAAATTTATTGATGCATCCAATAACATTCAAATAAGGCATGTTGCATTTGATCTTTCACAATTCGCAAATGATTCACAGAAGTAATTTAGAAACTGCGTTGCCTGAGTTTCAAGGCACAAAAATGACGGACGGCACAGTATCGGTTGTCGTTTAGTCCTCACTCGATCAAGCAACTGGATTACTGTTGTCAAAATTGAAATTTTTTTGAAAATCACGCATCCAGTATACTCCATTTTAATCATTCTAGTGATCAGATTCATTGTTGTTTTCAGTTGCACTGTGCTCAATGGCCAAACGAAGCAAGTAAGTGAAAAGTGGAGTGAAAGAGCTCATACTTTGCTTTCATCTCGATATTCGAAGATGGTATCTGAACGGCTGCATAAACAATCGGTGATTGGGTTAGAGCACGATTAGGTTGCGCAATTGGCGCTACTGGAGGTGGCTGAACTGCTTGAAGTGGTTGTATATCGTAAGTGGAGGATTCAGCTGAATCTGAGGTCGGTGGGCCGCTTGGATGATAATGTTGGATTCGAACACCGTTTGGCGTGTACTTGAAGGGTTCCACAACTTGTTCCCCTTGACCACTCTCCTTTAAAGTTAACTAGTGATAAGATGAGCATTTCATGCTTTTGGTTGAGGTGATCACAACGGATTCGACGATTCTTTAGTCGAACTTTGGATGACTTCGTTGCAGCCTGTCTAATTATGAGATAGTATCACACTGAATCGAACCCATACACGAAGATTGCATCATATGACGGCTATTATCATTGATAACCAGTTCAACATTTAACTGCTCATTGCTAAGTGTCATTTTTGAACGATATGAACACATGAAGAGAATTACGAAGAGCCAAGAACTGCGGTTCATTATGTGCGACTGATGCTCAGCTGCGAATAGTCCATTGGTG